TTTTTTTTACGTATATAGCCCATACTTACAATACATCGTTAATTAATGTCCGAATCCACCCACAGTGCCAAGCAAGGCTCTTCCAAGCAGAATATACTCTGGAGCTGCGAGCTCGCTCCATCAAGGCTTCAACAGGCATTTTTGTATAAGTTAGGTATTTGGTCACTAAATATGGTCCACATTAAGTTTTTATTCTACAATATTGAGCACACTGGGACCAATGCATGAAACAGAATCTGGCAGTGGCAAAATCTCCTCATTAACGTAAGAAAAGAATACCTAATAGTACACGGCGCTCATAATGTTATTGAACACCCTCCGGGGCTAAATAGGGTGTTATATTTTTTTATGAGCGTTCTATTAGAACCGCGCTCTATTTGGTGATCGCAATGAGCTGTAAAATGACTTCCGCGATCAATGCCAGTAACTAGATTCGAACTAGATTTACTCTATGAATCGATTAAGAGCATTCGTCCATTACCTTCACTCTTTCTTTCGGGGTCGCTCTCGCCGGTTTGCTCCTCCCGTGCCGCACAGAACTTGTATCGTAGGTTTCACGCTTGCTGTTGAGCCAGTCCTTTGAATCGTCGAAAAAACTGCACTTATCTATTTTTTTACGCAAGCAACAAATACGAAAGCAAAGGATAACCCAGCCACTATTTTCAATTGTCAGCTGTTTGGTTGGCCTATTAGCAGTGTGCTCCCTGTACACTGACTCTAAAGTCAGCTATACGGGTATATGTCAGTTGCTTAGTTTCTACTAGAAAATGTTAACATATAATTGCGGAACGAGAACTACGGGTTCTGTACTAAACATCTGGAGCGCCAAATTATTTTACCAAGATCTGTAACGGTTGCTTTGACTAACTGGACTGAATACGTTTTTATTCCAGAAATTAGCCTATAGTGGACAAGATTATTTGGATCGATGTAGTACATTACAAATTTTAAACTTAGCTCAGCATTCACTCATGGCAACTGAACTATCAGTTAGCTAACATGATGCTTTCAGCTAGTTAGTGTCTAGTAAATTTTGTTGATATGGTGCGCCAACGAGTGCTCGTGGACCACCACCGAGAACTCATCAAGTGGTGGTGGAGAGGATCCGACGGCAACAGGAAGCAGCACGTGCCTACAAGGACGTTAAGTGGCTGAGCATAGTGAAGGCAAGTCAACGAGGCATCGGAGGTAAGCACCATGATGAGAGGGAACAAGGAGCACAGGGAACACAGGAGAGGATAGGAGGACTCGGTAGCAGTTTGAGGAGCTAAAACTAATCTCACTCCGGCTTTTGCCCTCTACAACGAGCATTCAAAACCAACAGGTTAACAGCCGCAAGACGCTCAAGCTACAAGACCGCCATGACCACGACCGCCAAGAAAGCTGAAGTCATCCTTGGGAGTGACAACTACTTCCATTGGGAGTTCGCGATGCGTATGACGCTCGCGAGGATGGGGCTACTGGCGCGCGTTCAAGTCGTGAAAGACCCGGCGGAGATGACCGAGGCCTGGATGCTGAACGACATGAAGGCGCTCGGTCTGATTGCTCAAGGTGTGGATGTAAAACACCACACGAAGATTCGGTCGACAACGACGGCCATGCAGGCCTGGACTACGTTGCGCGACTTCTACAACCGGACGACGATGCATAACCGAGTTACGATGACTCGTCGTCTCCACGAGTTCAAGATGGAGGAGAGCTCGACGATGGCTCAGCACCTGGACAGGTTCGACGAGCTCATCGTGGGACTGCAAACGCTCGGTGAGCCGCTGGATGAGAGCCGACAACTCGTCATCCTAATCAGCAGTCTGCCTGCTGAATACGAGCTGATCGCGTCTATCCTGGAGAATACACGAGACGTGACGCTGATCGAGGTCAAGGAGAAGCTGCTCAAGGAATACGAGCGGCAGGAGAAGAAAGAAGCGACGGAGCGCGCACTGAGGGCCTCATTCCGAGGGAGACGCAACAACGGAAGACTCGCCAGCCGCGAGCGAGGCCTCGGTGGCTCCAGAGGCAACGGTGGACGAGGACTCGGCGGCTCCAGGAGCAACGGCGGGCGAGGGCTCGCTGGTTTTAAGGTCAAGTGCTTCAACTGTGGATACGTGGGTCACATGAAGCGGGATTGTCCTGATGGAACAAACGGTGACACCAACGAGGACTCGGTATTCACTGTTATGGTCGACAGTGACACCAACGAGAACTCGGTGGTCACTGGTATGGATTGCGGCACGGTCACTGATGTCAAAGACGACATCAACGAGGACTCGGTGTTCGCTGTTGGGAAGAATCGGTCGGCCGGGTGGCTGATCGACAGTGGAGCGACTGCTCACATGACGCCGTACCGTGATGACATGTTCGAGTATCAGGACGTGTCGGTGGGCATGTATGTTACCGTCGCGGATGGGAAGAAGATTCGGGTGGCTGGAACTGGCTCGGTGCGGCTGACAGGCATCAACGACAAGCGCATCAAGATGGTGGATGTCCTTCACATACCCGACCTCGATCGACGACTACTCTCGGTCGGCAAGCTGGTCGAAGGAGGCATGAACGTCGAGTTCCAGCGCAAGTCGTGCGTCATCTGGAATAAGGCGAGGGCGATCGCCTCGGGGAAGAAAAGTGGTAAAGAATACGTGTTGGACTGCGAGCAAGACGCGGTCTACTACACCGAGTACTCAGACGTCGGTGGTGAGTGGGAGCTTTGGCACGCTCGTATGGGACACTTGAACGAGGACTCGCTCGTGAAGTCCCAACAGGCCACTACTGGGGTTCCAACGAGGGCTCGGCAGGGGGCCAAGAAGCTGTGTGGTGGCTGTATGAAGGGCAAGCAGACGGTGGCGAGGTTTCCATCCCAGTCGCTAACGAGGGCTCGGTGACCACTTGAACTGGTTCATACTGATGTAATGGGACCTATGAAGACGAAGTCGAAGGTGGCGTGAGGTATGTGCTGACCTTTGTGGACGACTACTCGCGGTACGTCGTGGCGTACTTTTTGACCAAGAAAAACGAGGTATCGTCCAAGTTCGAGTCATTTCTGAAGATGTACCAGAATCAATGGGGAAAGCACATGAAGTGCCTGCGCTCGGACAACGGCAGAGAGTTTGTGAACAAGGCCATGGACAAAATCTGTCAGCAGAACGGGATTATGCACCAGAAGACCGTCCCGTACAGCCCTAAACAGAATGGCGTGGCTGAAAGAATGAACCGCACGATCATGGAGAAGGCTCGGAGCATGCTTCACTACAAGGGTGTGTCGGCAGAGTGGTGGGCAGAGGCAGTAAGTACTGCAGTGTACTTGACGAATCGGTCGACAAACAGTATGCACCCAACAAGGACTCCGTATGAATCGGTGTACCAGACAAAGCCTCGTTTGGATCACCTGCGAGTGTTCGTGTCGATTGGATTTGCCCACGTGGACAAGTCGAAGCGTATCAAGTTGGACCCAAAGAGCATCAAGTGCATCCTTCTTGGGTACGCCGACGACTCGAAGGGTTACCGAGTGTTCGACTTGGAGTCCAAGAAGGTGAAGATGTCCAGATCGGTGAGGCTGGACGAACGCGAGGTGAACGGAATATACGACACAAGACCCAACGAGGACTCGGTGACGGTACAAGTGTCGAAGGATGATGACGTTGCGGCTATACCAGAGCTCAACGAGCGATCGGTGGAAGATGAACCGATGGAAGCATCGGTGGAGCATGTCGAAGACGCGAACATGCAGGAGGTGGAGCAACCGGAACCAGTACAAGAGCTGACCACCTACCGAGGGCTCGGTAGACCCATGAGCGAGAGCATGGTCTTCCACCCGGAGCCAAGCCGTGCCCAGCGTGCACTAGAACCTGTCCTACTACTCACAGAGAACTCAACGAACGACGAAGGGTCCAAGGTGAACGATGATGATGACCCAGACAATGACGACCATTTCTGGCCACCGTCTCCTAAGCGACCGAGGGTCGACGAGGACTGCCTACTGGCTGAGGCTGTGCTGGCATATACAGCGAGCGTTGGTGATGCCAACGACGCGCCCACGACATATCAACAGGCTATGCAGAGCAGCGAGGCCTCGCAGTGGGTTAAAGCCATGAACGCGCAGTTGAAGGCACATGCAGATAACGGGTCATGGACACTAGTCCGACGGTCAACGAGCGCTCGTCCGATCGGATGTCGGTGGGTTTTCGCCTTCCTGAACAGTGATCTCGAAGAGCGCGTATACATGGAGGTGCCATTTGGAATTACCAACGCTGAGAACATGGTGTGCAGACTGGCCAAGGCCATCTATGGTTTGAAGCAGGCAGCGAGTGCTTGGCACAAGACCATCCACCGAGTCTTCCTGAAGATCGGTTTTCACAGCAGCGGTGCCGACGAGTGTGTCTATGTGAAGGCCAACGAGGGCTCGTTGGTATATGTATGCCTCTATGTGGACGATATGATTATCGCGGTGAGGACTCGCGAGGAGATCCAGGACGTCAAGACGGCTCTGAAGAACGCGTTCAAGATGAAGGAACTGGGCGAGGCCAAGTTCATTCTTGGAATGGAGATCGACCACGACTACTCGTTGAAGACGTTGATGATCAAGCAAACTCGCTACAACGACGATGTAGTGGAGCGGTTCAACCAGAAGGACGCAAAGGTGCTAGTGAACCCATGTGAGTCGGGACTGAAGCTAACGAGTGCTCAGTCGCCAACAACTCAAGTGGAGCGACGAGAGATGCAACGCAAGCCCTACCGAGCGCTCGTTGGGTGTCTTCTATATATCACGACGTGTACTCGGCCAGATGTGGCGTACATCGTGACGTAGCTGTCGCGATTTCTGGAGAATCCCGGCCAGCAGCATTGGAAGGCTGCGATTCGAGTGCTGCGGTACCTGAAGAGCACTCGAGAGCTCGGTATCGTGTACAACGCCAAGTCGGGGAAGGTCAGATTGGTGGCGTACACGAACGCGGACTGGGGCAACAACCTCGATGACCGACGATCGGTATCGGGGACCATGGTGATGATCAGTGGAGCCCCAGTGATATTCAAGTCCAAGTATTAGCGCAAGGTGGCGCTGAGCTCGGCGGAAGCGGAATACGTGGCACTTGGGCTGTGCACGCAGGAGGTGTTATGGGCCCGAGCCATGCTGAAAGACCTCGGTCATGAGCAAGTGGGAGCCACCGAGGTCTGGGAAGACAACCAAGGAGCGATAGCTCTAGCAAGCAACGCAGGCTACAACGCGCGGACGAAGCACGTGGACATCAAGCATCACTTCATTCGCGAGAACGTCCAACGAGGCCTCGTTGACGTCAAATATGTGACGACGGAGGCCCAGCTCGCAGATATGCTGACCAAGGCAGTGGGGACCAAGCGGCTCAAGTACCTGATGAGTGCAAGTGGAGTGCTCGCCAAGGCTGCTGAGCAAGGTATAATACATGTAGTAGGACTAAATATTTCTTTACGATTTCCATAGTTCCACCCAAGTACGAATTATGCGAGATGAACGGATCCTCGGTATTAATATTAGACGCTGAATAAATACTTCGAATTGCCGAGATCTTACTGATAGCAAATAATAAAATAAATATATTCACGTAATTTGGGACTGCCACTCACTAACCACGAGGAAATTAGAGAAGTTATTTACAAGCGAGAATTCATCGGAGGGAATGCATCGAGCAGATCTTCCAAAGATAACCTCTCGGCCGGGTGAGCAGCGAGCATGCCTTCCACCAACTGCGTGTACTTCTCGTCCAACTTCTCTTCCTTCAGCTCATCGACAAGCTCCTCCACTGTAAGAAAATATAACGCCAATTAAACGCGAGTTAAAACATTTCGATAGACCCAAAATACTTGAAGATTCTGCTTACCTGGGCGAGTGGCTACTCGAGGCTCTGGGTTGCCCGTTAGCATTGCAACAGCCAGAGCACCGAGGGACCAGATATCTGCCTTGGCGTCGTAGCTCACAACTTCTCCCAGAAAATATCGACGAACCTCGGGCGCCATGAACGCCAGTGTACCAGCAGCGTGGTGTGTCAGTAAATCACTCTCCAAATAAGTCGATACACCAAAGTCCGCAATTTTTGTTGAGCCATCGCTCTGTAAAGATAAAAACAAAATGATTAGCATGCAACATCAACGTATCATATGCCTCACTCGTACCGTCAAAAGTACGTTGCCTGGCTTCAAGTCTCGGTGAACGATTCCGTGTCGATGGATTTCCTTTAACCCAAGACACAACTGGCGGAACATCGAGTCGAACTCGTCGCCCTCCAGTCGCCCCTGTAAGCAGCATTCTGCTATCAGTACCGAGTTAATCTCTTGTTAGGAAACCCCCCTTACTCACCTTCTTCTCGAGCATTTCCCTCAGATCTCCACCGTCGCAATATTCCATCTCAATGTATGCGAAATGTCTGTGTCCGATCTCCTCAATAAAGTATTGTTGGATCTGCACCACATGGGGGCTACGAACTCGAGATAAAATACTGATCTCGTTCGCAGCTTCTGGTAATTTATCGCTCTCCTTCAGCACAGTCAACTGCCCCTTACGGTTCTCCACCAGTATCACCTCTGCAAAGTTACCGACACCCAACGTCCGCACAAACGAGAACTTGAGCAGTTTTGACGGCGGTTGAAGACCCTGCACGCGCTTGGCCCATCTCTCGGGCCCTTTAGCGACCATGACCTCAGTTTTAGCTGTCTCCTTCGTTAAATCCACCACTCCATCCATCAAAAGTTCATCTGCTTCATCCGGTAGCACTTCCGCAACTAATTTTTTGGCTTCTTCAACAGCATTGTGCTTCTTTTTAGGTCTCCTTGAGCTGGTAGGTACAAATCGACCCGCGATAAATGACAAAGCCGCAAGAACTCCTCCCTGTTTCCAAGCACCTGATAATGACGTCGATGCTCCTCCTGATTCTTCTTCTTGTGTCTGAAGCTCCGAGGCTGTGCGAGCTGAAAAAGGTTCCATCCGTAATATATAATTCGTAAACACAACAGCTTCGACAGCGACCATGTCGTTGCAGCGCGCACATTCCAAGAAGCACGTTCTGTTGTGCTCCACGTGCTTTATGGTGCGTGATGCCACACATTTGGCACACACAGGATGTCCACAGCAAAGCTGGACGCGTGGAGATTGTCGCAGTCTGAAGCAGCGGCTGCAGTCGTACAAGTTGGATACATTTGGAGCAATCTCGTATGTTACGGCGCCAGGCGACAGCCCCGGAGCCTGGAACACTGGGGGTGGTTGCTGCCTGGCTGATTCTGGTACGTAACCTAGTAGAGGCCTCGATGGCAGGCCGCGACTCAAGAACGGTACGTGGTCCAGTGGATGGCCTCCAATTTTGACGGCCGAGTACACAAGAACCTCGGGCTTTGGAGCTGCATAGGACAGTGATGTCCGGGCCTGCGACGAAGGCGTACTCAGAGTTACAGAGGGGCCTGTAAAAGCTTCTCCTAGAGCGCCCACCGCTCCCCATACAGCGGTTTTTAGGGGCCCGTGGACCTGCTGCTGCCAGTCCGAGTAGAACGGACGCTTGTGGTCCAATTCGTGGCCGCCGATCTTCGTCTCCGCGTACCCACCCACCTGCTGAATGTGTGGGTCGTATGAGTGCAGGTTAATGTTGCGAGCGGACGTGCGGAACTTGCCCGGGCCGCTCGACAGCGCAGTCGGAAGAGACGCGAGTTTTGCGGGTGTCGTCTGCACCACCTGGTGCTCCGTGTCGGCTAGTTCTAATGACAGCTCGTCCTCCACCTCACCTTCGTCAGCGTCGCTGTCTTCGTCCCCCTCGCGCACTACAGGGGCGGCCTTGTCGCGCTGCACAAGCCGCTGCATGCTGGTCGCCGGCCTTCCTATTGAGGTTTGCAGCTGTTCGACGAGACGAGCGCTGTTTTTCTGTTTCGTCAACAAATGTAAAGGTTTATAACCAACAAACCCTTCATACGAATACTGTCAATTGAATTCTCACTCAATATGCTTTCTTTCAGAAAAATATCAGTAAACCGAATCTCAAGAACAAAACAAAACTCTTTATTATTTTGTGATTTTGTAAGGAATTGTGCCTAAAATGCTTGACATTAACTATTTCAAGCATATTTTAATAATTGACATTACATGTATGCTAAGCTCTTCATAAATAGACATTTAAATTATTTTGTTTAAATCTTTCATGTCAATCAGAGGTCTGAAAAAAAATACAATACTTTCTAAGCACTTCAATACGGTATTGAAAGGGTAAAGAAAACTGCAGTCCCTCTTGTGGCCGCAAGCAATATTGCAATACTGTATTTCAGAACGAAGCGCAATACATATTGTGGTCCTTCGCTAAATAAAAACATCGTCAGTAGTAGAGGCGGATAGCTAGGGTAGCCATTCACCGCCGAATGCGGTTGAAAAGCAGCGGCAAAGCAAATGAGCAACCTGAACAGCATCCGTATGCCCATATTAATAGGAATTCAAGCTTCAGCAAACAATTGTTACAAAATTGGCTGGGACTGCCAAAACAAGAAATACAACATAGGCTAAAGCAAGTAACTGAACATTAAGACGAGATACCAACGCAGCGTAGAGATGTCAAACGCAGCATCGGGTGGAGTTTGACTTCGAGATGGAGAGGGGAAGTGAGCTGTCGTCTATGAACGAGCGCAGCGCACCAAAAATGGATGGTGCGTGCCTTTTCTTTGGAATTTTATAATGCAGTAAGCGAGTATTGTAAAAATAATCCTTTCCCAATTGACAGCTCCCGTATGAAGTGTTGGAAACAGTGGTGCTTGAAATCTAGATGGTCCATTCCTAGAGAAATTTCTACGTGCACTGTACCACACCTGGACGAAATGCAAGTGCATCTCGGCGGGCTGACAAGCTGTTGGTCGACACAGCCCCGCACAGGTTGCTGTGTGTTCGACCAGTGGTCGATTTAAGTTAAATTTTACCCGACCATCTCGCAATGCATCTTAAGTTTTAGATTCTAAACCTTGCGTCTCTCGGCGGCGGCTAGTCGGCGATCTTGTAGCGTTCGTCTGAGTCGAGAGTCTCGGAAGATGGCTGCGTGCCCATCCCTCTCTCTTAGCGCAACCTTCATTTGGAGGGATTTTATTGGGTAATAATGCGAACAGACCTCCGAATCAGGCCTCCAAGAGTCAGGCGTTTTGTGCAAACTGCGCGATGATTGGCCGATATGGCGCTGTCGTCCCACTGTAAACCCGCTTAAGTGCGGTGATTGAAGAAGATGTCACAGCAAACGTTCAAAACCATGCGCGAAGGTGACGCGAAGGTTGTGCGACCACAGAGAAAGCTGCTTGCACGTGTGCGGGTTCGGGGGAGGATCTCACGCGGCAACCACTTCCGAAAACCACCGAGTCGTGCAGAAGAGAGACCATCACTCTCCATGGGGAGGAATCTCAAGGGCAAGGCGGCCAAGGCGGGAGCGGGCTCGCAACAGAAGCGCCGCAAGAAGTCCGGGTTGGGCGCGGGTGGCAGCAGCCCGGCGCTGTCGGCCACATCGTCCTCTGGCGGCACGTCCACGCCCGGACACCGCGAATGCGATCAGTGCGGCAACAATATGCTGCTCGAGGGAGTGGCGAAGGCCTGGCCCGTTGGAAAGAAGAGCGTGGCATCTACGGGGTGCCAGATCTGCGACTTTGTGGCCTTCCGGCGCTCCCAGCGGCCTTGTGTGGAGTGTGCGCGCACTGGGTGCGACCATTTCTGCGAGTGGTGCGGCAAAGGCTTCCACGTAAAGTGCGCCAAGCTGCGGAACGAAGATGTGGGCAACCCGAATGGGTTCTGCTGTCATAAATGCGAGTCTGAGCAGAGTGAAGGCCACGACACTGACGAGGAGGAGACTAAAGGGGAGGAGAACGACGAAGACGTCGGCTCGCGATGCGGAAGCTGTCGACTACCTTTCTCCACGACCGGTAAAGACCCTGAGGACGTCAAGGTCGCGACGGGCTTCAAAGTGAACCAGGCGGTACTTGTGGACAATGATGAGGTGCTGTACAATGCGCTTATCACCGAGGTGGACACTACGGGCGAGCGTATTAAGATCCACTTCACGCGATGGAGTAAGTCGTTTGATGATTGGTACGCGATGGATGACGAGCACATTAACGAGAGTCTCGCCTGCGATTGCTGCAACCAGTGGTTCCATATCGGCTGCTTACCGCCCATTAAGAGCTCTGGTAGGTGGAAAGACTCGACGTATGTATGTCCGCGATGTATTGACGACGCGCGCGCATTCCACAACGGCAATCGGTCGGTGCTGAAGGCGAAGGCAGCGTATATCTCGACGAGCAACGCGATTGCGAAGGCTTCGAAGAGAGTAACGTCGCCTAAGGAGAGCGAAACGGCGACAGTGGCGGTTGCGAAGACTAAGAAGCCCAGTAAAGCGGTTGTGGTTATCGACGACGATGATGAAGACATGGAGGAGGAGGAGAAGAGCGTCGAAAATGCGAAGGAAGAAGTCGAAGAAGACGTCAGCATCGCAAAGGCGCCGCATAAGAGAAAGCGAAAAATGTCGGAAGCTGCGGATTCTCCAGTGAATGCGCAGGCGAATGAACAGTCCGCAACTAGCGCTGCGAATACTTCTCCAGCGAAGGCCTTAACGACTGCCTCTTCCCCGTCAAGAGCCTCTTCGGCGACGACAGAGGCTAAAGGTAATGCTGAAGGCAAAGCGAATGCATTAAAGACGCCGGCGGTTGACGCGAATGCTGCTGCGTGTGCGAATGCGGCGACCATGATGCATGCGTCTCCAGAACACACGATCAAGGTGGCGACTGAGGCGCACAGCTCTCCGTCCAAGGCTGCAACGGCTAAGATCGGCGCAAGCAACAAGTCTGGTGTAAGCGAAGCCAAGTTGGACAAGCAAATTAAGACGCAGACGCTAAAAACCGAGTCGGCTACGGACCATTCGAGTCGACAGTCGTCGAGTAATACCGTCATGTCGTTGTTGAACAGTCCTCCAACAAATGAGACACCTGTGAAAGGTTTCAAGCCGACAGTGGCGTCTCTGCCCATGCTGAACCCAGCAACAAACCGCAACAACACAACCGCCTCATCATCCAAACCATCGATGGCAACGCCCGCGAGCTTCCAAGTGTACGTCAAGATGGAACAGAAGAGCGGTCGGTTTCCGTTATATCCCCGTCCAATGCCGAATGTTAAATCCGTCCAATCTGTACGGAAGGAGGTACCAGCTCCACCTATAAAAGCGAAGGTGCCGGTGGTCCGAAAGACGAAGCAGACTCAAGCTGGAGGCCGCGGTCTCAGCGCGTTCGACATTCTACGTGAAGTAGCATCACAAGAGATCGATGAAAGTGCTGTATCAGTAAAGCCGAAGCGCGAGAAGCGTCCCACAGCAAGTCGTGGTAGTAGTACCAGTGTCAAACGTGTGAAGATGGATGTGTCGACGTGTACATCGAACTCCAATGCTACTTCATCAGCTGGAGTTGCCGCTCATCCGGACACGAACCAGTCACCGCAGACTCGTGAGCGAATCCAGATGAACTCGTTCGTGGACCTGCACTTCAGTATCCGCAAGGAAATGTACCTGCGCTTTTGTCGGTTAGAAGAGGAAGGAATGTTGACACGCGACTCGGCGCATTTACTTCGTTCACTGATTTACCCGACGTCGGAGCGATTCCAAGACCTCAAGTTTGTATACCTGGTGAACAAGGACTTGCCATCGGTACAGCTCACTAAACGGCTATTGGAAGCAGTGCCGTACCCTCCAGCCGCAGCGAAACCAATTGCAACCACGGTGCCTCATGCTCCTCCTGCTGCGATTCGGTCTCCCATTGCCGGTAAGGGTCTTACGGGCCTTCCCATGTCGATGGGGATGTTTTCTGCTGGTTTAAACCGCAATTCTCCTGCGGGAACGTCACGTATAGGGATGTTGCCACCGCCACCTGGCGGCTCTGCACTGTTGAGACCTGAGCCTCCGCGACCAGATGAATCCTCACGACTTGCGTCTGGAAGCGCCAGTGTATCACAACCTCAGTCGCAGCCGCAGCCTCCGCGAACAAGTACTGCTCCTGTCGCTGCGCCTGTCACCACTGCCAAGCGACCTGAAATGCTCATCGTGGAGCAGCTTGCGCCGACCCGCCACCCCGTAACTAGCCAGCCACAGCCGCAACAACAACAGCAGCGACTATTGAATTCAAGGTAACAGGCATGTCAGATAGTAACTAAGTAAGCCTGGAAGCACATTGTAGTATAAGAGGGCAGCGGCCACGGCACTTGTATTTAACTGTAGCCGACTCGAGCCTCCTCCGAATACGAAGCCATTTTCACCGTCGTCGAAGCACTTTTCATGGCCCGGACCAGGAGTAATATGATGTACCCGTTTTTCGGTACATTAGTTTCGGATTTCTCCTGGCCCAGCAGCAGCTCCTGGTCATGAAGCGCACGCATGATGAAGATCAAGTGGAGCTCGCGGGGGCCCTGACAAGTCTCCGCAGTGAATCTGCACACGGTGATGCGGTGAGTGCCACTACATCCGCTTCCACCAGCTTCACGGGACCCTCTATTGAGAAGCGCCATGCCAGTTGGACCGCTTGGGCCAAGTATCTGGACGACTATTGCAACTCCAATGGCGTTCGCATCGGCATCGAGTTCACCGATAGCATTCAGAAGAGAAACATCGAGATGCGCAACTCCAAACGAGCAAAAGACGGTAAATTCGTACGCTTCTTGCCCCAAGGACTGGACGCTTATCGTCGCAGCTACGTGTGTCATCTCGGCCGAAAGGGACGAACGCGAGACATCAAGTTTCGCCGCACCGCTTGTCCGTTTAAACTGGTAGCAAAGAGTGTTTACAACGACAGCAAATGGGAAGTGGAAGTCACATGTCCAAACCCAAGACATATCCACTCTGAAGCAACAGGAGAGCCTGCAGCTCCAGCTTGTGTCGAAGCGGAGGCGCCACCCAAGCCGTCGATTCAGTCGATTCCAATCGAGGGACTGAAGGGCAGTCCGTGTAGTAGAAGAGTGCTGACAGACATGGCTCCACGATGCAAACGTATGCCTGAGAATGAAGTGATGTGTACTCGACTACTGCAACGTCTAAACAACCTACATGATTCGGTGGCATCTCTGGACGATAAAGACGCCCGCAAGCAGATTTACATCGACGTTATCATACGATTCGTTAAACTGATGCATCGCAAGCAGCTACTTCTTCGTCTGGCGAGCAGTGCGACTGTGGTGTATAAAGTTCATGAGCTCCACGACAAGTTGAATGATGTTGCGCGAGAACTTGAATTGAGTCATGAAACAAGGAGGGACCAGTTAAAAGACGATCAAGATGAACAATATGCGAAACTGAAAGAACTAATTACTGCTGCATCCGATCGCATGCTAATCAACGAGTTTCGTGGCGATCACAAGCTTCACGAGGCCCTAATGACGCTCACCCACGGGTTGAAATGGAAGAGTCAGTCCTCGGAAATGCTACATCTCAAGAGGGCAACGCTCGCTCGAGTGACGAAGATTTTACCCGAACTAACCAGAGTCGACTGGTTTATTCCTAGGGATGAGTTGGAGTACGAAGAGAAAATCATTGGAGCAGGTACTTTCGGCGAAGCGAGACTTGGAGCATGGCTGCATTACGGTAACACGAAAGCTGTGGTTGTAAAACAACTATTCAAAGAGATAGACAGCTACTCTGGCGATACTTTCTTCAAGCAACTAGAGATATGGAACAAGCTCGAAGATAATCATATCCTCAAACTTTACGGCGGCTCACACATCAATAGACCTCAACTTTACGTCTGCGAGTACGCCACCGGTGGCAACCTTAGAGGTTTCTTTGGGAAGAAAGAAAATCGTACACGGTTTTGGCGTATGTTTCAGCAAGCAGCGCAAGGTTTGCAGGTATTGCACTTGGCAAGAATCCCTCACGGTGCTCTCAAATGCAGCAATATTCTAGTCGGTGACGGCGATACAGTGAAGCTTACAGACTTTGGATTCCGCTCTGTGCGTTCGTTGTCTGCAGCTTTGAGCGGAGACGCTGAAGATGCGACTGCGAACGCTATTCGATGGAAACCCAAGGAGGTACTGGAGGAGAATTTTAACGAGGAACTGCTGTATGTGGCCGACATTTACGCAATTGGTATGTGCATGATAGAAGCGCTCACACAGCAAGATCCATTTCCGAAGGTGGACAACAATGTAGTGGTGGAAGTCATCAGAAAAGGTGAAACTTACAAGCGACCTGATGGCATTTTGGATGCTGAGTGGGATTTCATCTCTCGACTTTGCAATTCAGACTACTCACTACGCCCAAAAAGCATCAACGAAGTGCTGAAGGAGATTAGTTTATTTGTCGAAGGTGAACAAGGACGAGAAGATCCAGCTAAAAGCATAACAGGACATACTCGGCAGCAGCTTGTTGAACGTCCTCCGTTATACGAACAGCATGGCCGAACCAAGCACAACGTGTCAGTCGATGTGGCAATACATGACGGCGTTCAAATGGAAGACGATGTAACCGAGATCGATACAAGTGCCACCAGCACCACCAGTTGTGCAATAGGTATATAAAGCATGGAAGGTACACATCATGCATCGATACAAGCCATCATCGTCCTGTTCGGCTCCAATTTTATTTCTGAACGAACTTCGGGTGAGACTCCAGCCTCTGCAAAAAAGTCACGCACTCCGCAAATTCTACGATGTTCTGTTGATTAAAAATGCCACGAGATTCGATTTTCCACTATTTGAAGCCGCGTCCTACATGACTCTGCTTGGAGGGCTTCAAGCGATAGACGACAGTTAGAGGCTCAGTGTTTGCTCCGCAGTACAAGTGTCGCGTGCCCGAGCATCAGTCAGGAGGCTATCAAACTATATTGGAGGCATTGTACGGAGTTCCCAGTTGCGGCTCGACTTTAAACCACTTCTTCAATCGCAGAAGATGTGTGTGACGGATGTTCCAGACTTCACGTTCAGCGAGACAAACGAAGCGTCATGGGAGGGGGGCGTATTGTGACGAGAAGTTTATCCGACGGCCAAGCTCGGGCTTTGTTGCTGAGTGATGTTTACCTGCATTTTTGTTGTGGTAACTGGTATCCTAGGGAAATTGCGCGATGCGATGATGTATCATTGAGGAGTCACATATCGAGAACGTCGTGCGTGTGGCGAAGCGCTTGTGCGGGAGTGATTTAAGTTTAGTACAGCGACTACCATTCGCCTGCTCCAAGTGTACATGTAAGTCCTGGTCTGCTGATATTTTGTTGTTGTCACCCACCGATGCCACTGTTTTTACAAACAGTATTTCATAGTTCACGCCCTTTTCTTCTGTTCATTTCTGAAGTTAATTGTTCCACCATATACCTCGTTTCACTTTCATTACTAGAATTTAACTTAAGGCACACAGATCAACCACTAGTGGCTGCAGTCCATATTTCAAAGCTCACCCTTTTTCCACACAGAAAATGACAAGACAAAGTCAATTTTTGCACTTGTACGAGCAAAAAAGATCACTAAACTTACCTCGTACTCCCTCCCCCGTTCGTCTTTGACGTGTACATTAAGTTCGGGAACTGTTTTGACCACATCGGGAAAAACGTATCCCCATCTGCAATTTGCTGTTGCACTCTCGATACGTAGCACGAATCAGCGACTTTGGCGTCCATGGCTTCCTTGTATAACCTCTCACCACCACCGATGAACACCCGATTGCAATTTCGATACTGCGGGTCTGTATTTGCAATTTGTAGCGCCTGCTCTAGTGTCTGAGCAAATAGGACACCCGACGACCGAGCGCCGGTAGCTCCACTTTCAGGCCTCTGTAGCGTGGAAGACACGACAATCGTGTGGCGGTTGGGAATCGGTTCGTCGAATTCCTCAAAGGAGCGTCGGCCGACCACCAGCACTTGATTTCGAGTGGTGGAGCTGAAGAACGCCCAATCTGCCGGCAGGTTCCATGGTAACTTGCCTTGCTTACCGATCACGCGGTTCACGGAGCACGCTACGATTAGAGAAACTGGAAGTCGTCTTGGTGTCATAACGCGACTGAAACGGCTATTATCATGTGGACCACTTTTCTTTAAAAAAATTGTTTTTTTCTTCTTTTTTTAAAAAAAAATTAATTTTCTGCCTTCCAGAAAGCAGGTATGAAAACTTAACTTCTCAAGAATTCGCCGTTCAAATATACCGATGTGTATGTCAATCGTCGTGCAGTGTGCACGGTGAATTCCCTGAATGCAAATATTCCAACTTTACAAAGACCAAGTAAATTCGCTATAATGAAAATTATAGCAGATATCTTCGTGCAAACTGCACGACGCGTATTTTCTTTTGTTTTTGAAAGGAAAAAAACAAAATAATAACAATTTGGGCCTCTTTGACTAAGTAGTAGCATTGTCAATACTATTTATCGGGTATTTTGGCTTTTCAGTTCTCTAGCTAGCGTCTTCCACGATAGCTGGTCCAACCTTCTTCCCCTACCTTTGCTCGACGATGAAGAGAAAGGAAGACGGTTAACAACCTGGGTAAAGAGAATTCCAGCCGAGTCCAAAGAGCTGTAGGCTCGGTGAATTTCGTCGTTAGACAGTAACGACTCGACATGCTTCATCAACCTTTGAAGCTCAGCTAGGCGAACTTTCATTGTTCTACAGGACATGTCGTGCTTTAACAAAACCCGCAGAGGTGGCTGTCCTGCGCACCAGTGCTGCCACGCTATACGAAGCGTTCCAGAAGGGAGCGTAAAATCTCTCGGGACGCGATGGAAACTGCCAGCCCACATGTAGAGTTCACATTGTGGGGTCACCAAGCTGGTACCAGTAGCAGGGACTCGCGCAACCGCTGTAGCCGGGGCGACTTCATTCATGACTGAGAGCGCTGAACGCGCAAGAACGGCTTCGAACGCCGATTCCAAAGCCTCCAGTGTCATTATGGATCCATGTATGTGCCGTTGAAGTATGCGTTCAATAGTTTCCGCCATACTTTGGTGCATTTTGTCAACTTCTGCCTTATACTGAGCTAAGATGACCATAATTCCGACATGAGGTGGAATACCAGATTGTGTGATGGGATCATTTTCTTGATAATTCCGGCAGAATACGTGCTGACGCAACCAGCCAAGTTGATTTTGAGCGGATGTTGAAAACAAAGGTGTCATAAATAATAAATGATTTGGAGGCAACTCAGCCCGCAAGTAGGAACTGTGATACAATAACGAGGCTAGGCCGAATTGGCAAATCATCCTTAAACTTGGTGGTACACCAGGAAATACTACGTCCATAGTAATACGGAGGCGCTGCTCCAACTCACATCGTTCGTCAGTCTGGTTTGTAAGAGGGGCAAAAAATGGCGGCAAAGTAGCAAACTTAGGAGAATCGAAAGGAAGTCCAGCTACATAGCGACCGACAATCATGTCTCCTGCTGCCTCGAATCTTACATACTTGTTTTGAACTCCCGGAAGTGTCCAACCAGCCCTTAGACAGATAGCCGCAGCCGACGGTCCAGACGTAGAGCAACTGCTCACGTAAGTTGCGGCACCTTTCCTAGCTGAATGAGTCCCAGAATCATCTGATGTCAAACCAAACTGAACCAAAATGCTCTTCATGACATCACATTCCAGGTTTTTCTTTAGAATACTTAAGAAGCGGCTGTACTGATTGCCATCGGTAAATAGTTTGCCGTCTCCATCAAATCCAAAAACTGAAAAATAAATTCCAAGTGCTAACACGGGGCAAATCTCAGGTATGGTGGGGTTGGCATACACGTGCCTGGGATCTCGCGGTCGACTAGCAAATGTAATTGTAATAGAATCTTCGCACCAAGATAGATGTGCATGTCGTATCGACTCGGCGCATTTTGCGCGGCACATCAGATTCCAGCATATTATGAGAAAAGAATGACCAAAGATATGCTGCTTTTTGGTCGAATTCAGCATAGTTTTTGCAACAGATCTGTACATTGAGAACGAGAAAGGTTCTTTACCCTCTCGCAATCGGGCATTTCGTTCCTGGGCTACTTGGGTCACAGTATGGTGAAGGCCCTTAAAAAATCGCTTCATCTGGGCATCGAAACCACTGGGCCGAGAATTGCCTGTTGTGTTGTAAAGATAAACAATAGCCGATCGCACAATGCCAAAGGTAGACTTCCCAGTCACACCACGTTGTTCCATCGAAGTGAGGTAGCGCATGCACTCTTGCGTTGTTAGCGTACTTAAGTCTATTGGACTCACTACAGGAGACCTGGCAAACCACTCCGCAATTGTGTCTCCATTAATCGTCTCGATGTCACAAAACGAGATCGCGAAAAGTGACTGGCGGCGGTCCTCATCTGATGTCTCGTAAAGCCACTTGATAAAACGAGTAAGAGCTCGGAGATACACGTACTTTGTCGCACCAGCAGTAGTATTTCCAAGGACCCCCTCCACACGAGCATCAAGAACTTCCATCGCTACGACTTGTAAGTGTAAGTGACCCTTAAAATTAAAATCAGAATATACTACCAAACAGCATAATATATTCGACGTGCAAGTTGCACGACGAATTCCATTTATCTATACTTTCGCAATTGAAAATTTCTACAAATGCGAAATTTGACCTTTCATATCGATAAGTTCACGGAGAATGAAACACCATTCGAATCCCAGAGATCCGGTAGTCTCTGCTGCTTACGCCGACGTTCTCTTGCATACACTTAACAAGCTATTGGAGAACGCATTCGGCCCTTTGTGCTGTAGTTCCTTCTCACCCTCAACGAAGATCATCGATAAGCCAATATCCATGTGCCAGTCAATGTGGCAGTGCATTATCCAGACCCCCGGATTGTCAGCTATGAAGCGAAGAACTAGGTAGCCCAGGTTAACGCAGTAGTTGTTCTCATCCGTGTCACAAGGAGGCACCGTGTAGACGTCGCGCATCATGGCCCCTACTAGTTTCAAGGGTGGCAAATTGTTGTTGTAGATGTCCTCAGCCGTAGCCTGGCCACTACCGACCACCCAAGGTGCATGTGAGTGCAGATGGAACGGGTGCTGTTCGTTCATATTGTTTACCAATACGACTTCTACGTGCTTGCCGTATTCAATCGCTCGAGCGTTAGCAGTGAACGGTAAGTCTGCAGTAGTTGAGCCATTGGAGATCGTGAAGAGTGGCGGTTCATCGGGTATCACAAGGCTGTGGTACTCTCCTCCATCGATAGAGACGATACCTCCCGCCTTTGGTATGATGTCGAATTGAATGATTGAGCGGTCAGATGCTGTCGTAGGAAGAGCTGCCATCGTTTCGGGGGTGAAGTCAAACTCGCTCATGGTCACTACCTCTTCACATTTCTGGGTGGTCGGTTCGGATGTGTTTGCTGCGTTGTAGCGGACAATTGCTAAGCCCTCAGCATTGAAACCGGGTAGACCGGTGTCCGCAGCTCGTGCCATCCAGGGAAGACCCGTCATCCCCTTTGCTCGCATCCAGAACGAGTCTACACCTTGCGTATCATTCTTGCCCTGGACGGCAATGTCGTAACGTTGTCCAGCGTTGATAAAGATCGAGTTGATAAGCTCCGTCGGCTGTACAGGCTCGCCATCAGCTGCAATGATCTGGAACTCGTGGTCGTCGATACTGAATTCGAAAGGAGCCTGAGCGGCCATATTGATCAATCGCAGTAGGTATTTCTTACCCGCTTTAAAGTAAAAGTTCGATAACGGTTGATCAGTAGAGCACTCGGTGAGGTTGTTCAATGCCGCGGCCGTGCAGTTAAATCGTCCACGGTTGTTGATAGCGATCGTATCCCACAATACTGGTCCTGTTAATGCTGGAACAGTGTGGTAGATTTCCGCTAGTTGGACGGTAAATTCCTCGTCGATCTCCTTCTCACAGTCACGGAGGTCACTGGCAGGTGCATGGACAATGAGAGGACCTCGTAGACCGAAAGCATACTGCGTCTTGTGGTGACTGTGCCACCAAAAAGTACCAGCCTTGTCGGGTTTGAAACGGTACACCGCGGTGGTGTTCGGTTCAAGAAAGCATTGAGTAATGCCCGATACACCGTCCATCTCTTGAGTGCCGAGTTGCTTCATACCATGCCAGTGCAGACACGAGGCATCGTGGAGCTCGTTAGTAACACGAACTTCAACTTCCTGTCCGAGCTCGACCTCGATCACAGCCTCGTCGCATGGCTTATCGTTGACGCCCAGAGTTTCGAGGAGAACACCGTCAAACGCTGTCATGATGGGCGTCAAGCGTCAGTCGTAGGTGACGACGTCTGCAGAGCCATAACCAATTGAAAATTGTGCCATGAGGAACATGCTAAAGGCGGCGGAGAGGTGACTGCGACCCATGGTACAGGAGACGCTGATTCAGCGTAGTAGAGCCCTGGGTAGTTCAGGGGATATTGGAGAATGAGTAAGGCACGAATTGGAAGGAGCGGGTTCCTCTGTCGTGCAACCAGCCATTAATGCTGAGGCTGTTGGAGCTCGATAAGGTTCCACTAAGATCGCCACACCGCCGAATGTTGCATTCCAGAGTTTGCAAGGGCTCGTCTTTTGGCTGGGCTATGATAGCCACCTACACTTTTGGCTGTACTTACCAACGAGCACACGAAGTGAGCGCTTGAAATTGTCCAAGCACTCAACGAGTTATGCTCATTTCAACGGAAGCTAGAACTGCTGCAATGTACAGCACAGAGGCTGGTTCCACTTTGGACCCCATCAAATAAGTAGCCTGGACATTACTACGACGTCATTAATCATATCGGGGAACACTTGTCGTCGACACCTCATTCCCGTTGTTCCTTCTGTAGCTATTCACCACCTCCACAAAAATCACCAGTCGACGTGATAGAGAGCTCACTTAGGTTGTCGGTCGTGAGGTTTGGAAGAGGCAGCCGACTTCGACGCCATCATATAACTTTTTTTACCTAGTGGTACGACGTAAACACCGTTGTTCTTGAGTCAGTTTGTCGCTAGGAACTTCCCTTTTGAAGCCGTAATGTCCTGCCAATGTCCTGCCACTGATTGAAATGGGCACTGCTCTCATATCTCTCGCCGTCTCTGGCTCCACACTAACTTATAAACGGGCTTCCACATGAGCGATAGCATTAATCAGAAGTAGCTCGGTCGACAGCGATAAAGAGTGCTGGCTCTTGAACAGGCTCGTAGTTGCTGCCAAACAACGACAAACCTTCCGCTGACGCTGAGACGAGAATATTTAGGTAGCTTCATCAACCGCCATCTCTATTTGCGACCCTCGATCTTGAGGGGCACTCATGGGGAAGGCGTCGAGAAGGAAGCAACTGGACGAGCAGCGAAAAAAGTTCTTTGCTGTCCACGGCGATGGTCGCAGCGAACAGGACCGGGCAAACGCTCGGGTCATGCTTGATGCGCTGCAAAAGAAACTGGAGGACGATGCTCTTCGAGAAGATGGAAAGTTGCACCTAAAAAACGATACATAACCCTCTTTCTTACTGTTGGTGCTCTGCTCGACAGGGTTCTACTTCATCAATGGCAAGTATGTGGATTCTCGACGACCACGACTCACTTCCGGAATGAAAACACGGGGATTTGAGACTCATCGGAGTGGCATCACGGACGTTGCCATCGTCCGCATTGAAAATCTTCAACAAAAAAAGGATTTGGTGATACTGTTCACGTTTGGTTTGGACTGGTGGGTATGTGTTTGTCATAAAGGAGGGTTGGTGCTAGTTCATTGATACTATTTCGTTTTTACTGCGTCTACTGCAGTATTTCTATCTGGAACATGAGAAATGGCAAGATGCTTAACAGTTTGGACGTGTCTTCGTTCCGTGGCCGCTCAATCTGTGGTACAGCTGTGCACTTTTACCATTGTGAATGTGATATGATTGTTTTTGCATTTGCTACTCGTAAGTAAAAAACAAGAAGGTATCGATTGGTAATGCCGCTGACTATAATTGTCATTTGCTCTGACACAGATAATGAACCTTCCGTCCACTCATTTGATTATAAGAAGAATATCATTGGCCCACCTGCCCATGAGATGAAGACTTTCGATGTGGCAAGCAACTACTGCAAGGGTCATCAGCAAGCTATTTCATCCATGACGTTCAGTCATGACGGATCGCTTGTTGCCACGTCTTCTTGGGATTCGACGTGCATGGTTTGGAAAGTATCTCCAGCCAACAGTACCGAGACGGTTCGCTTAACTCTCTTGATCGTTTTACCTATTCATGAGGATGAATCCTCGTGTCTAGCCTTCACTATGGATAACCAGAACCTGGTAACTTGTGGCGAGTGTATCGTCAAAGTGTGGGATGTCTCTAATTTGTCAGAGAATTACGAAGTGGGCGTGACTAACGACGGTAAAGGGATATCTCTAGACATTCAGCTACAGGAGTGGGAACAAGCTATTCCGTACTCGTTCTCCATTGAGAAGTCGATAAATCTTTTCGCATTTGATGAGTCAATGCCCACGCTTGTTGCCAATCACGATTGGCTTCATTTTTGTGAACATGACGCAGTGCTGACGCTACTAGCCCCTGCGCAGAGTGGAGATGAATGGAACGAAGTGATTGACGTCAAGCAGTGCCTCGAGCAGATTATTGAAGAGATTGATCCCAACGACGATGAATTCGAAAAAATACTAAGAGATCGCGAAAAGCACAAAAGTCAAGATACGAAGAGTGAAAATAATGCTGCCATCGAAATTTCCGACAACAATAACGATGCACAAGCACTAACGACGGAGGAGAGTGCTCGATTGAAAACGCAGTTTCGAAGCATGAAGGATTTCGACTTCGAGAAGCTCTTTACACCCGCTTTGTCGTTTTCGGATGGGAATAGCACCTCTATATCTGCAAAGTCTGTAACTCGAGTTCAATCTCGCCCGGACGCAAATGGTCGACTGCTTCGTACATTTTCGAAAAGGACCACGGTAAAACTTGAGTTTTTTTTTCTTTACGATAACTGGTTTAGTAATATTTGTTGTTATTTGCCAGGAAGGAGTGTTTTCGTCTCATTCGTCGACTATTACTAGTTGCGCTGTGGCACAAGAGCTTGACTTGGTTGTGACTGTGGCGCTAGATAAGTCAATTCGGTACTGGTCGCTGGAGCAAGGTGTCGTCTTGGAAACAATTTTCGATGCACACGACGCTCCGATTACTTGCTGTGCCCTCACGTCACCAACCACTTGTGACTTGAACGTGTATGAAATGTTGCTGGCTAGTGGTGGATCGGACAACTTGGTTAAAGTATGGCGAAGAAACGAGCCCAAACGTGCAGAGTGCGTGTTCAGTCTTTCAGGACACAATGACACCATCAGATCGGTTGCCTTCGATCCTAGTGGTGTGTTTCTAGTGTCGTCTAGTGAAGACACGACGGCGATAGTGTGGAGGGTCCGCCCGTCAAGTCCAGACCAGCCAGAACTACCCGTCGTGATTTCGGTGGATCGCTTTTCGATCAGCATTTCTTGGACTGAACCACTAGCAAACGGTGCTAAAATTCTCCACTATATAGTACGAACGAAACAGGTGAGCTCATTTAATAGTGACAATCGAGATATCGTGGTCATTGCAGATAAGGAAGTACCAGCGAAGTATTTGTCCAAAACTGTCGATAAACTCCAACCAGGGGTCAAGTATACGCTTGAAGTGGCAGCAGTGAACCAGGTAGACTCAAGTAGAATGTACCCAACCCATTCACATCTTACTGACATTTCTGCTCGTTAGATTGGGACCAGTGAGTTTAGTATTGCAACTGAGCCCATAGAGACCCTCGCATTCATTCCATCTCGAATTGAGCGCCCCGTGCATCACGATAAGCGTGAGGCCACTCGTATTACTCTCTCCTGGACACCTCCGTGCCCGAATGGTGCTCCTATTTTGTCGTACACTATTCAGTGTCGACCAGAGAAGAGCGCGTTTGTTCCTCTGCGAGAAATTACGATTTCCGTAGACGATCTCGAAGTATCTTACGAACCTGCTCATGCCGGGGTTAAACGCTCCACAATAGCCTCGAAAACGATAAACACTGGACCAGCTCCGAACGAGAAACGAAGCAAGGGCCAGCAGACGGACAGTACTGGTATCACGAAGACCACTAAACAAACTCGCTCAGCTTCCACAATCTCCAAAAAAGCGTCAGTCTCGAAATCGACACCAACTTCAATATCTCCGTCTATACCCACGCTTTCGTACACGGTGGACGAACTCTGGGCTGGTGAAGTGTACCAGTTCGTAGTTGCCGCATCGAATCGCTGTGGTCTGGGGGAATTTTCACGTGTGAGTGACTACGTTAAAATGGACTGCACAGCTCCTGATCAGCCTGAAAAACCTGTAATTGCGGGCGTCGATAAACGGCAGATCGATGTTCAGTGGGAAAAACCACGTTGCAATGGCAGTGAGGTGTTGCAGTACACGCTGCGGTGGAGTCAAGAGGTCGAGGAATTCCCTTTTACCAGTGAGCAGTCGATTGTTCTTCTCACTCGATCCATTGCTATGACAAAGTACACAGTCCTCGGATTGGAGCCAGGGCGTCCCGTTAAAGTGTCGATCTCTGCTTCTAATCTGGTGGATAACAAGCTACTGACATCCCCTGAATCCCCACCCAGCGATAGTGTGGCGACTTTGTGCGATGTACCGAATACACCCGCAGCTCCAGAGCTTTTAGAGCCTTCTGCCCACACGCTGATGCTCGCTTGGACACCTCCCAAGCGCAACGGCCTTCCAATTGATGGCTACAACGTCGCTCTTTACTCGGAAGACACGCAATTCGGTGTCCGCGTTCGCAAGCTGTACCGTGAGATTTCTCTCAGACCCCATGATCTACACCAACTAAGCGCAAACTCACCAACTGTAACTTTCGTCCTGCATCACTTACGAGGTAGCACATTCTACAGCGCTGCAGTTAGCGCGTTCAACAGTTTGGGTACTAGTGGCGTTAGTGACGCTTGTGTTCCAGTACAGACTAGTGCCCCTACAGTCCCCGATGCCATTCTTGCGGCCCCCACAATATCTGACGTGACACCCACGAGTGCCATTGTGACCTGGAAACTACCTGCTCATGACGGTGGCTCACCTTTGCGTGGATTTCACGTGGAATACAGCGTACGGTCGAACCGAAACGAAGCGAAAATGGAGAGAGGGGGCGACATCACGGTATCTCACGGACTCGAGCTCAACGCTATGTTCCTCAAACCTCATCGTCTGTACCGATTTCGAGTGTGTCCTGAAAATCGCGTCGGTCATGCGACGCCTAGTGTCTGGTCTGATGAGTTTGCAACCCCCAGTCTCGTAGAGTTTACAGTCACTCGTTACTTCGCTTGTCGACCTCCCGAAGAACACAACGCTGCTCGTTATATACAAGGTAGATATCGAGCCTGGAAGAAAGCTGTAGCAGACAATGCTCGTTTCACCGCTGCGCTGGTGGAGGTACTTCGTCACTGGCATCTATAAAGGGACGACAAATAGTAAGAGGATGCTACGATGGTTGTATATTGTTACATGCAGCATTAGTAGATAGGCACGATACGTGTAGATGGTTGCAGTAAACGTTGCTGATGAAGACTGGGTGGATCCTCTCAGTTCACGACCGTGTTTGAGCTAACGCCCCACACCTTTGCGTACAAAAACTCTAGTAGAACTATATATATATTTTCATCGGAGTGCCGAATGCATTGTACCTATGACGATGCTTTCGTGAGTTACCATTCTTTTACTAACGGCGCTTACATGTTAGAACATTTGTTGGGGAAATTGGCGACAGTATGTCCTTCAACGCTTTGCAGTGTTTAATTTCGCCAATTTCGCCAAAAAATGGTTTCTGTAATTAAAATTAAAAGTTCTAAAATGTTTGCATTAAATTTTTTACGTCTGAATGCCATTTTCATCGAAAGTCGAGCAACGACCAATGGTGATGAGCATCAAGTCGAGCAAGACCAAACCGTCCCTGGACGTCTACAAGCAGAGTTTTCGAGAGTATCTGGTACGCCCATAGTCATTGCACAACTGTCTTTTGCTGCACCGCTCTCACAGTAACCTCATTCTATCTAGCGCGAGACTGATGCCGTGAAGGACGAGACGGAGCTGGAGAAGCTCATGAAGCTGCTACACGAACCTCTGCCTGTGTCTTTTCGACTCAATTTGCACCGTCCTGATGCCTCAAGGTGCCTATAAGATGATA